CTACTTGTATTTACTATCTTTAAGCCCTACTAAAATCCCTGCAGCAAAAAGAATATATAGTTTCTTTAACAATAAACTGAGGAGGCCATAGAACCAGGTATACTCCAGTTTTGAAAGTCCCTTTATCTCCCAATATTTAGCTTTTTTGTTCAAATGCTTAAAATTACATAATCATTATAATCTATTTCTTAAGCTAGGTAAAGGGAAGAGACAACATGGTTAGTCCTGAGGGAAGATTAAACACAAGATATTTCTTCCAGCATCCAAAAAGAAAGCATAGTAACAACAGGTTAGAAGAAAGCAGGGTGAGACCTAAGACATTTAAAGCCCAAGATTACATGGAGATCCACATACACAGAAGTTACTAGATGACCATCCCTCTCTGATCACAAGCTTTCTTGGTTCAGTCACCACGCCACCATTACTCTTCCATTATGAAAACTTTGAGACCTTCCTGTACAGAAAAGCATACCTACTCTCATCAAATTTAGTTTCCAAAACACCCCCACCACTGTGCCTCTCCAGCCTAAACGTACCACACTTTGCTACTTGCAAAATCACATACACAGCATTCAAAACAGGCTAAATTTGAAAAGCTGAGATAAAATAACTATCTCCATTATCTGAAGGATCAATGCCTCCTAGCTGCTTCAAATACTAAAGCTGATCATCTTCAGTTGGTATTTGCTCTAGATGTGTTCCATCTTGAAAAAAAAATATTTAAAATCCACAATTATCGAGTTTAGAGAATATTCCCATCTCCAGCAAGTCATTTTGTCCTATGTAAGACTAATGTAACCCTACAAAATTACTATAAATAAAAGATACATATAACAGTAAACAATTATTTTCTTCGGTTACTAATGTTTCAAATAAGTTAGACTAAATTCCGTATCTTTTTAGAATTATTTTTTTGTCTCTTTCTAATGAGATTCTTGCTCATGTTGCTCTTTCATTGCCTTTTTTTTTTAACCACAGACAAAGAGGAATGCAGAATTGCAACTGCAAGTGCAAATGCAGGCTTATATTAACCAAAATAAAATAACATTGTGAAATGGCCGTTTACTACATATTTGAGAAAAGCACACCACGTAACATTCTAAATTCTTCTAAAATTGCCACCGCTATTCTTGTGCTTCTGACCACATTCTATAGACTTGCATTTCCTCCCTCTACCTGTATTCTCTACACTTTCCTTTCTCACACTAACAACTTTTAAGTAAGGTTAATTATAGCTATTTTATGCTGAAGTACTGTCAACTGGAAGGGAATGTCAAAAGGCTGGTATAGCCAGCAACAGGAATAACACAGAAAACTGATGAGTGATCTGTGGCATCCAGCAGCATCCGAGAAGCTTAAAGAGTCTATGAATGTATTTACATATATTAATTTCCTCCAGTAATTTTTGAAAATTTAAGCAAGCACATGCTTTGGAAGTCCTCTGGCTAATAACAAATACCCAATTTATATTACAAAAGGTATCCTTGCCTAAGATAATATTGATTGTTTTCTTGCAATGTTGAGTCACATTTTCAAGCTATGTGAAGCTATAATAAACATCAGCTCTGATTAAGCACCCATTACTTGTTTACTAAATCAGTATAAAAAAAATTGCTTACCTACCGCTTGTAAGCAATTCTACAATTAGTTAGAAGTTCAAATTCATGTGGAATTTGGTTAAGGTTTCTTCAGAGAAGTAATTATATATTCTTTCTTTTAATTACAAAAAACAGTCTTTATGTTAAACGTAAGCTCTTGTATCAAATTGCCAAGAAGTTGGGTGGTAGAGCAACATGAAAATACATTCAAAATAGAAGCATTTAATCTAATAGGAAAGAGAACCTGGAAATTTTATTTAAAGTATTGTTTGTTCAAAATACAATCTCTCAAAATATTCAAGCTTCAGTTGCAGTATCCCACACACATTACACAGATGCACACCCACACACAAAGATAAAGGCCGTTCTTTAAAGGGCATTAATTACTATGGCAACTACTGTCACTGACACAGGCAGCTCCACTTATTTTATCATTATTCACATACCCCTAGAAACACCAGAACCCCATGACATTTGCAAATACAGTTCATAATCCAATTTTATCCCACTTTATCCAGTAATTATTTGAAATATACCATCTTTTGAAAATAAAGTAACATACCTTAAACTAAATGAACATACAAGACAGATGTTGTCATACAAAAAAACATAGTGAAGATTTGTGTCCAAACTTTTAACTAATTCACAGTAATTTCAGAAGGCTGAAATATATAAACTCTAGAAATATATGAATGCATGCCTTGCTGTCCTTCTATAACCAACACTGTCTGAAAATTTCAGTGTGGAACATACTCAGAAAGACACCCACCCCCAAATCATTATTTTTTGTATCATATCCCTGGCTTCCAAAACACTGACAAACAGGTGTTCAAATACAGTAAGACTGATATACAGAATCACAAGCAAAATCTTGTTTCTCTGTTTTCATACATTTTAATAGTATCTCTACACCGCTAATTTAACATTACAATTTACTGCAGTACAAACAAAAGATATATTAAAAGAACCAAATTGCAAAAAGAAAAAAAAAAGAAAATTCAGGATCCAGAGTGCTAGTATAACTGTTGTCCATGCAACCTTCTAGTAATTAAGATTGTACCACATTATACATACACATAAATACATACAGACAAATCTAAATATTATCCTACGGAACCTCTGCCCTGTTCAGTATACAGAACAATTAAGAAACAGTTATTCAATATTTTATATGTTTTGCTCAATGAATGACCTGACTTCTTCTCTTTCCAACATCCACCTCTAAGTAAGCAGAATTAGTAAAATGTCCCTTCCACAGCACTTGGTGTTAAAAGGAACTGATTTAATATTTTAAAATACCGCAAGAGACATTATTTTCATAGATAGGAAGCTAAGGTATATAGAGATCCACAAAGTTACACAGTACCCATTCATTTTAGATGCTCATTTTAAGACTGTTTGTTTGTTTGTTTGTGGTTTGTTTTTTTTTAAATTCTTCACATTGTGTGGTACCTAACAGATTAAAAGCAAAGCTTCTGATGAGTTGTTTGTGGATTCAGGTGCTCAGCAATCCCTCTAGTTAGGCCTTAAGATCTTAGGCATATTTAAGAAAATAAAAAGGAATGAATAATTACTGGCTTGCTGTAAAAAGTTTGTTTTAGGAGCTCGTCTCATGCCATTTAGGCATGTGACAAGGCAAAGGAGGAGTTAGTTCTCCTGGGCAGCATTAAACAGTCTTAACCTTGAATCTCTACTTTTCTCTTTCTGCAAATTCCTGTTACTTTCATTACACACCTCCCAACTACATTGGTAGGTCAAGCAGAGCTGTACAAGGTACCGGCATTTATCATAGAATCATAGAATGTCCTGAGTTGGAAGGGACCCACAAGGATCATCCAGTCCAATGCCTATCATGTCATTCCAGAACATTTCTATTCTGTAAGAACTAAAGCAGAAATTGGGGGGGGGGGGGACGAAAACAAAAAGCAGGGATTTTAAAAAAAAAATACACAGAGCAGAGATTTTAAAAAAAAAAGAAAAAGAAAAAAAAGGGAAGATTTGGTAAACTTTAGTTTCTCTGCCTTTTGTACACTATATTGCACTTAGTCTGCAGAGGTTTTTCTGCTAAGTTCCTCCAAGTTTGGTCCCATCAGTTCTGCTGCTGTCTCACCTCAGGATCCTTATCTTGGGCCTCTTCTCTTCGCCTCTTCTGCTTGCCCTGTTTCCATGATTCAGGACTCTCAGTTGAATATCCTTGCGAAAGCCTGACATAATCTTTTCTTCTACACTTGCTCTCCTACCCCCACTCTGCGTAACAGTCCCAATTCCTATCCCCCTCTCATTTTTCTGTCCAGTCTGCACTTAACCATCCCCACCAGTTCCACTAGCCAGCCTCTCTATCCAGCCCTGACTGGGATAGCAGTTCCCCACAGCTACCAGCATCTCCCCTTAAATTACCCCCATGATGTCCTCTGCCAGCTCTCCTGTCCCAGGCTCTTCTTCCTTTCATTAACCATTAGCCCTTCCTCCTCCTCAATTAATATGCCCTTTTTTCACCTGCCCTCATTTTCTTCTCTGTAGCTTCCAGATTCCTTAATTTGTAAAACATCATCTCAGCAAAGCACTATTTCCCTGATCCTGGTCACACTATTGTTCTTTAAGTATTCAAAAAGACATTAGGTACATTTGCTCTTTCAGCCTCCCTTTTCTACCCTGCTTGGGTGACAACAGAAGATCCTCAAAAGCACAGAAGAGAGAGGCTTCCTCTTTTCCTTTCAACATCTAGTCTGACCAGTTACTGAGCCCTGAAATTTGTACTGCAGTTCACTCACTCTGCAAAGAAAACACATGAGCAGTATGGTCACACTCACATCAAAGAGATGCTCTGGAAGTCTGAGACATTTTAGCAGCTAAAGACACAGCTATTTCTGCCCACATGAACTGGTATTTTTCAGAGCGTCTGCTAATATGCAAGAAGTTTCTCAGCTCTCCACAGTGAAAATAAAATATATACCACAGATAAAGGCCATCCTCTTAACAGATTTCCAGACTTAGCTCCAAATTATGAATATTAGAGCATTCCACGTAAAATGGCCCAAGAATTTAGTGAGGCGGGATAATTTTACTAGGATTTCTCTCCGTAACAGTTGAGCTATTCCAAGTAAGTCTCTTCCTAAAAACTATTTCAGTCTGATGAAGATATCCTGCACAGATAGGCTGAAAGGATGTTTCTGTCT